GTGGAGAGAAAGCAGACGGTTCCCATAACAAAGTGAAATTGTTTACGTGGACTACATGAGAGGGTGGGGGTTTGGCCGGAGAAATTATTGTTTAATTCTATGAACTGGTGTCTGGGAACCTCAGAGTTAGTTTTGTTTTGACATTACCATGCAGTGTATTCAATAAACAGGTTTTTGGAAACGGATTGAACCTGGAGTTATATTTGGATTCTCGAGCGGGATGTTGACATATGAATATTGTATCAAATTAATTAATTCGGGGGAGGGGGGTTGGGGGGAAAAACGGGATTCCACTTCTTTTCCACAATGTTTCAATTTTTAACTCTTTAAAACTGATACCTTTAAGAGATTTTTCTCATGTTTAAATGAAATGATAAAGGTTCTAGTGATGCCCATGGGGATTTAGCCTTGCCTCCGTTGCACAGGGAATATATTTATTGTTACTCAGAAGTAAATCCTCGCGTGCCCAAGGGACTTACTTCTCCGTAAGAACGCTTAGCGCCATAACTTCACATTTCTGAGACGGGCAAATGCTTCAGCCTTCCCACTGTCTTGTGTCTCTTGTAGGGGATGAATTGATGCTGACAAAAAGCATAAAGTCCTCTGTTTTTCTCTGCGGTGGAATAGAAACTGCTGTTGACCCACTTCAGGTAGAGGAGAGGATTTTTTAATATATATATATATATATTTAATATGATTTATTTATACAATTCAGATTCAGTTTACGTCAAGAAAGTCTTCCGAGGACTTCCAAGAGTCTTTCACTTAAAAAGCAAGCTTGCAAGATTTGGAGCGAATCCTTGGGTGTTGCTGTCCTCTGCTTATTTCTTGGGTTCTGAACCCAATCGCTCTCTTTGCGTCTATCAACATTGGCAGCCTAAGAAATGTCATGCTGGATCAAATCGAAGACCTGGGCCAGTGGTGGCGAACCTATGGCATGCGTGCCAGAGGGGGCACTCGGAGCCTTCTCCGTGGGCACATGCGCCTTGCTCTTTGGCTAGATTTTCGCAGGAAAAAGCCATTTCTCAAGCCCCTTCCTAGCCAAAACAAGCCTCCGGAGCGAGCGCGCTGTTTTCAGCTTTGAATTATATCAAACCTGACATCGGAAACAGACTAACAGATGACCTGAGTGCTGCACGTGTTGCTCTCAAACTTACAAAGTATAAGCCAAGGTTAGACAAATTATCAGCATGCATACAACAGCCAAAATCACATTAATTGTTCAAAAGCCTGCCAAATGCAAAACTTTTACCTTTCACTCAAAAGTTGTTTGTATCATTGAAAGCTTTGTCATTGTGTTTTCCTTTTAAGACAAAAGATGTTAATGTATGAGTTGTTTTTTCTAAACTAAAACCTCAGTATTCAGATTAAATTGCCGTGTTGGCACTTTGCGATAAATAAGTGGGTTTTGGGGTTGCAGTTTGGGCACTCGGTCTCTAAAACAGGGTGTTTCAACATTTTTACCCATTGTACCACTTTTAGGATATGGCAACATCTGAGTACCACCAGTTGCCTAGCAAGGTCAAAAACTTGATGACCCCCCCCCCAAAAGGAAAAAAGTGATAAAGTACAGGTAGTCCTCGACTTACAACAGTTTGCTTAATGACTGTTCAAAGTTACAATGGCACTGAAAAAGTGCCCCCCAAGCCACAGCCGAGCAAGACACCTGCCTGCCCACCCAGCCACGCTCTTCTTCCTGTCTGAGGTTTTCATTGTTGTGAGCATTTCTGTTGAGGATTGGCAGCAGGGGTGGGGTGAGGGGGGTGTTTTGTTTTTATTCCCTTTACCTGCTGGGTGATTGCAGCAGGTTTTGGTCACTTCACATGACCTTGGGACACTGTGAACGTCATAAATATGAATTAGTTGCCAAGAATCTGAATGTAAATCACAAGACCCTGGAGATGCTGTAACATTGCAGCTGATCGGCGCTTCTTCTGGGCTCAGCAGAAATGCCAGGATCAGCACCGAGCTCCAGCTGGAGCCTGGCGCTTCCGCTGAGCCCTGACAGCCCTGCAGCTCCAGCCATCTCTCACTCAGGCTTGTGGGGTGCTGCCATCAGTTCAGCTCATTCCCCTCCCCCGCTACCACTTTTCTAGGATGGTCGCGTACCACCTGCCAGGTGCCAATGTACCACAGGTGGTACCCGTACCACTGGTTGAAAAGCCCTGCTCTAAAAGGTTCGCCATCACTGACCTGGGCGATCTAGCCTTCTTTTTTCTAAAGTCAGAAATCTGATATTTCTTTAGTAACACTGTGGAATATATGTCCACGGAGTGATATACGTAGAGAAAAGACAAATTTTGTTTGTATTGGTAGAAATATCCTTGGAAATAATAGTTCTGCCGTATTCGGTGTTGTCCAGGCCCCATCTTAAGTACAGGAGTAGTTTTCAGACCATAGCAGAGGGATGGTCTGGGTGCTAAGTCTGAATAAGGAGAAACCCAAGAGAATATTGAGGCTGGAGAAGAGAAGAGTAGTGTCATGGTTCCGGCAGGTGAGACTCTTCAAAAGAACTTCGAGGCGTTGTTTGCCTTAAAGAATCTTTTATTCAAGAAGCAAAATATCGGCACTACATAGTTAAAGCCAAAAACTGAATTCCCGCTCAGGATTCTTCCAGTTCTCCTATACCTGGAATAATTTGTCTTTACCGGCAGCTCTTGACTTACAACCACAATCGGGACCAAAATTTCCATTGTTACGCAAGGCAGCTGTTAAGCGAATCACCCCCAGATTTATGACCTTCTTTTGTCACGGTTAAACAAGTCACTGAGGTTGTTAAACGAATCGTGCATTTGTTGAACGAATCTGGCTCCCCCCCCCCTCAATTGACTTTGCTTGTCAGAAGCCGGTTGGGAAAGTCTCAAAATGACAATCGCATGATCCCGGGACACTGCAAATACATGTCGGTCTGGCCAAGTGCCCAAATTTTGATCATGTGACAACGAGGAATGCCGCAATGGTCCTAGATACGAGGACCAGTCCTATGTCCCTTTTTTCAGTGCCGTGTAACTTCATATGGGTGGCTAAATGAATGATTTATACATCGAGGACTTCCTGTAATTATAGCTCGTTGCTATTGGCTACTGATTGTTTGCTCAGTAAGAAAGCAGATGCCATGGTGTAAGACAGTGATGGTGAACCTTTTAGAGACCGAGTGCCCAAACTGCAACACAAAACCCACTTATTTATCGCCAGGTGCCAGGTGGGTGCGGCCCACTGGATGGGCGTGGCTGTGATCATGGCATACTGGGTGAGTGTGGCCAAGGTGGGTGGGGTCACCTCGATGTTGCTCGTGGGGAGGGACGCCTGTGGGGGCCGGGCAGGGTTGGGGGAGATCCAGGGGACTCTGGCAGGTGGGGCAGTGGGCAGGAGGCTCATCCTGGGGGGTTGAGGCGAGGCAAGGCGAGGCAGGGCGGGGGTGCCATTGTCGCAGGGCAAGGCGAGGCAGGGGCCGGGGCGGCTGCCTCCTGACACTGTCATCCCCTGCACACAGAGGCCAACGAGTGCATGGGGGCCGACAGTGTCCGTCAGCAGCCACAGCCTGCCAGCCCGTCAACCGGCGCACTCTGGGGCTCCGCAGCCTGCCCCCAGCAGTTCAGAGAAGCCACCTCTGAGCTGGACGGCCGTCCGACAGCTGAGGAGGCGATGCAGTGGGTCGTGCCTGGGAAAAGGAGAGTATGTGAGGCCAGGAGGGATGGGAGGGGGGAGGGAAACCACCCATGTTGGGATGCATCCGGCCACGTGGGACCTCAGTGAGTTAGCAGGCGGCTGGTTGAAGAGGGACAGTTGCCATCTCCAGGGCATGGTGCGTGTGCCCACAGAGAGGGCTCTGAGTGTCGCCTCTGGCACGCGTGCCATAGGTTCGCCACCACTGGTGTAAGATAAAACAGTGGCTTTAGTGAGATTACATGCACTGTGTATATTCTTACGATGATTTTTTTTCTTTTTCAATCAGGATCTGGCCACTGTGGAAGAGCTGGCTGTGTATTTCACTGAGGAAGAGTGGCTTCTGTTGAATCCTGACCAGAAAGCTCTCTATAAGCAAATCACGGAAGAGAATTTTGAAATCCTGACTTCTCTCGGTAAGGCTCCCTCTTTCCTTCGTTGATGTATAATCATAAAGATAGCATTTTAAGTTAGGTTCCTGTGAGACCACAGATTTATATGGATAGGGCAGAGTTCCCCAAACTTTCCAGCTTTGGGGACCAGCGATGGAGGGGGGAGGAGAAGAAGGGATGGTTCTGCGCGAGCGGCCAGCAAGCGTGCACACAACTCCATTTGCACGACGTGCACCCTCGCACGCCCCTCACACAAATGGAGCGTGCATGCACACGCTCGCCCA